AATTTAAGTTCTTGGTTAATTTTTAGCTTTACTCTAATAATTTCTCATGTCATTTAACAGTCATAACGTTTTTTAGGATAAAACATTTTCTAAATTGGTGTTTGAAAGCAGATTAGATCATTGAACTTCATAAAAGTGCCAAGAATTATGCCTTTACCTGGATTCTACTATATTATGTTTATCATGTTCCTTGGGCATCAACATGATTGGTTCTTTACTCACCAAAGTGTTTATTAGAATTTACTCGAACCCAATAAGAATCATATGTGCTATTTTAGTGGTTGCAAAAATAAATTTTAAATCTATTGCTTTTTGTTTATTACGGATTAATTTTTGATTATACATACTTATCGTGCTCATGAGTGATTTAAATCTATGCAGGTGTAGTTGGGTTTGGTGTTGCTGGATTAGTTTACGAGCATTCAATTATATTGAGTAGTAGTGTTTGATACCTCATTGGAGTTAACTCTGTCTGACTATCTGTCATTCACTCATTTGGCAGGGTGACCCTCTGAAGGTCAAAGTCAACAAACTGGCTTCTACTAGAACTCAACTTCCTTATTCATATTATTCCCTTCCTTACTGTAAGCCAGATCGCATTGTGGACAGTGCAAAAAATCTTGGCGAGGTTCTCGGGGTGACCATATTGAAAACTCTGTGTATGAGGTACACTACTCTTTTAATGATGATTGAAATCCGTGATGTCCCTAAATTGTTAAAATTAGGTCTAACAGAAGGTTTTGTGCAGTTTCGTATGAGGGAACCACAGATGTGTAACATTGCATGTCATATTGTTCTTAATGCAAAAACAGAAAAAGAGTTTAAGAAGAAGATAGATGATGAATATCAGGTGAGCATGTACGGGGAAGAATTAAAAGTTCTCTTGATGTTGTTTTTGTCAACTGTATGATAGTCAACGGTCTCTGATTTAGTACTTGAATGTAACAGGATTGAATTCTTTTGCATTCGGGAATCCACGAATGTAACTTGAATGTAACAGGATTAAATATAAAGTGAGAAAGCCACCAGACTGAGCATCAGTTATTCTTCGAATGAAGGTTAATTGGGTTTCAAATTGCAGCATGGAGGTAATTTCACTT